AATTTATTGGCCCAATGTTTCGCATTCTCACTCGAATTCATCCTCAGAGACATTCGCAGATAAAGGTGATGATGGCACCAGGAGTGCGGTACTAAAAGCACGTGGCTGCCGTGGACCGTATGCGCACTGCGATTAACAGTTCTCGCAATCCCCTCTGGGGTAGTAATTGATGCGTTGGCGGCTTGTCAGTCCGCGTCCGAGTCGTTAATGTCCGTGATTTCGTCATCCATGCTGGATTCTAGCGTGAGGATTGCGCGGCATATTGCCTCACTGTCGCTGGGATAATTGCTCGCCCGCGCCCTCCCCACGTGACTGATCCCCTGCCCAGGAAAAATCTCAGTACGGAATATGGTACCGGCAGGTCATTGCGCTTGTTGATGGATTGCGGGCCTGAGAACCATGACTCGAACAGCTCGCGGCTCACGCGGTTATCCCTCTTGGGAGGATTTTGGCCTCTCGAAGCTTTAAAATATGGTCGGTTACCTCCGAACTAGCCGCCACATGAGCGGTAGTATCTCCCCGCCTCACTGCTGCTGCGTGCTCGGCACTTCGCGTACAGAGTAATCTCCCAGTTTCTCCGACAAAGTTGCTTTGTCCGTTATTACACCACATCCGGTAAACAAGTCCAGACGTTTCCTGCCGTAGGAATAGGTCTTTTAACTTCATGACTTGGCACCTGATGATTGCTTCTGGCCTGTGTGCAATCCCAACTCCGAGTGGAGTGAGAAGGCGGCTGACGGTTTCCTAGACATTCTTTACTAACGGAAGAGCTCGCCAAAATTTAGGCCCAGATGGCTTTGGCTTCTGGTGTCAGTTGCTTATGCACTGGTCGGCAAAGCTGCAAGGGTAGCTATTAACTCTCGGTAGCTGTAGGTGATACTGCAATTCCGAAATCTCGTTTCCAGTTTCATTGCAATGCATATCAAGGAGTCTTGCGTATTTGCGTTCGTAACTTATCAAGCGTTTATTGTTTAAGTTCAGTTCCTGCATTGTGTTTGTCGCTTTCCTGGACGATTTCGTTCTCAGGCCACCACAATCTTTGCGAAAAACGAGGACATCCAGAAAGGTGCGTGAATTAGTCTATAGTGATGGTCAACTACCGCAGCATCTACTGCACTCTCTCTCCCCCTCCTCCTCCTCCTGCTTCACATAAGTCCGGTGTCAAAATCGAGTCAAGGAGACCGGGAGCGAAAAAAGACGTAGGTGTTCCAAAACATCCACTGGTCCATTACGTACATTGACCAAAACAGCTTGCAATCAAGGAGAGACTGCACCGGGGCATGCCGCCACACCCCAAATGTTGCCATTTTCTATGGATGTACATTCCCATGAACGCCTGCCGAACTCCGATCTAGTCCCCCTGTTGTTCTAGCGTATCAAGCGCGTGACGCGCCTCAGGGACACCCTTCACCCGGCGCGCAGATCGGTCCCGTCGGATATCTCTAGACCAAATGTAACAACAACCCGTCAACTCCATCTGCTGACTTGACTGCAAACGTCTGCATTGTTACTCCTACACCAACTCCCACCGCATTCATGACAACCACCAGCACCGCCATTCTTCTGATGCCCAAACGTCTCACTGTACGTTGTGGGTCTCACCACCGATATCACCCTCTATCACAACACTCGTGACGACAACTACCACCGCTCCAACACGCACTATCACTGAGAAGACTCCCGTCGCCTCGCCTTGCCACCACCGCCACCCCCATCAGCTCGATGCCAACCTGCCCCCATTGCAATCGCACCTTCATCTCAGGCATCGGCCTGATCGGTCACTTGCGTTTCGATCGTATCGAGACGGGCGCATTAATCCCAGGAGTCTGAAATACTCTCATCACATCCGTCTTAACTCTCCGCACTGACCACGCGTGTTCACTCACTGCATGGGCATATTCGGCCACATGCACATCCACGACAACAAACGTCAACGTAATAATGATTTGCCGTGCACACTTTGAACATCTAACAACGCATCCACCTCCAGCAATACCATTTCCACCGCAGCTGGCTTTGCAGCTCCCAACATATACTTCACACATTGGCCTGGCCGTTCACTTGCGAATTCATCACAAAGAGACTGACAGACAGCATTTGTTTGACAACTAACTGGTGCACCCTCAGTGCATATTCCTCAGTATGAACTATCTGATTCGCCTGAATCTGTCACGATGCGCCAAAGCCGTGATTCAGAAGGCCGCCAGCTCATGAGATAACTCGATTCTCAAAACGGAGATTCAAGCTGCAATGCCTCCGTCGTGATACGGCCTTTAGGGTCCGAGCCAGCCCTCTGTCCTGTTATTGTCCTTTTATGTGTAAAATATACCATATGGCGGCACGCCTGGGTGCGCGTTCATTGTGCGTTAACCGCCTGCGTCTGCTCAAGACTCCGGTACTTTTGCTCTTGTCCTGGCAGCGGATACAGGTGGGAGCAGATGAGGGGGTGCGGTAGATGCAGTGCAAGTCGACCATCACTGCAAATTAACTGCCGCTCAAATAACCGTGTGTGTCCATGTGTGGGTTGTGTGTGTGTGTGTGCGTGTGTGTGTGTTGGGACCCCAAAACGGGTAACACGGCAGATGTGCTGACCGACACAGGGGCCATATCAGATCCTGGCAGGCGTTATCGGAATGCGCACCATCCGGAGTTCGGTGGCAGACCTCAGTTGCCGGCACAGGTGGTGTACATTGGAACCCCTGTCGTCCCCGACATTTTCGTTACTGTGCGGACCAGGGGGTGTGGAGTGGAGTTCTAAGACACGGGCACGACCGTGCCATCTACCTGCGTCCTCCGCTGCCCCTGCACGTCTTGACTCTGTTCGAAAGAGACGGATGACACAGCACCTACCACGGCACTCTCACGCAAGTGACAGATACACCGCCCAACCCCCGTTGTGTGAAATCCTAGTGTTTGTGTTTGGGGAACCAGGCCGTGCATGTGGCGCGCGCAGACATGGTCACTACACCATGTCATCCACCGCACCCATTTCCCACGCAGTCAGCTAACCGGCCCGGACAGGGTCTGAGGTGTGGGAATGGGAAGGGTGAGTGAGGTCGACGACTATGCGCACTTTCCTCCTCACTATAAACAATCTGACGCGCTTGAAACTATCACGGTGCGCTAAAAGCCGTGGCTTCTAAGGTTGCCAACTGACGGGATAACTTGGACCTCGCAGTCGGCCTAGTGTTGTGTATATCAGTGGAGTCGTCGGCTGGTGGTCCGAGAGTCAGGTTGCAATGGTCCCTTCTTACTGTGGCTTTTAAGACACTCCCACTTTGTGGTATTCGAGCCGGGCGTCTGCGGCACGCCTAGGTGCGGCTTCAGCCGTGCCAGCCTCCACTCTCTTCGTTTTTTGGTCAAAAACCTGGTTATTCGTTGTGTGAACCAGGGGGTGTGGTGGGAGGCCAAGGCTCGACGGTGCCATCCACCTGCGGCCTTTATCATCTCCGGTCTTCTTGACTCTGTCTTGACATCGGGCTCAGGTGGGGGGAGGAGGGTAAGCGTAGATGCAGTGTAAATTTGCCGGCACTATAAACCCCTGCGGAAGTCACCGTCCCTGCTTCCACCACCTGCTGTGGAACACACGGTGAACATCGTCGGATGCGACGGTCGATCTGTAGTGTGTGTGTGCGTGTGTGCTGTGCGCCCAAAACGGTCAACAGGGCAGATGCGCCGATCCAACAAGGGGACCATATTAGATTCTGGCGGACGTTATCAGAATGCGCACCAGAACAAATGCCAAAATTCCGTGATGCGGTCGTAGACATCATTTGCCGGCACAGGTGGTGTACATCAGGACCTCTGTCGTCCCTAACATTTTTGTTGTTGGTCAAAAACCAGGTCATTTGCTGTGTGGTCCAGGAGGTGTAGAGTAGAGCTCCAAGATACGGACCACCTACCTGCCTCCTCCGCCGTTATTTTGACTGCGTTCATAAGAGAAGGTTGATCCCTTCCTCGTATTATAAAGGCCTAAACAGTACATAAGATAGGCCGCTTGATACTTGCACTTGGTAGGGTTGCGATTATGCTTGATCTAGCCGGCCTAGATCATGTCCCGAACTGTACCTCTCCACGCGTGACGATTCGCGGCAGCGATCTGCACAGCTCAAGCCATTCACTTCGCCAACGACGGAGACCGCATACCGAAGGTCCAAGAACCACCTCCACGTCTTGACGAACTGTGTCCAGCCAGGTTTTGAACTGACCCCCTCTTCGACGCATCCAATGGGGCAGCGGTGTCGGATCGAGGGCAGTAACACTGAGCTCCTGAGGTGGACGACGAAGAACATGCTCGAACCACATCAGTCGTCTTTCTTGGATGGCCTGAGTTATCCTTGAGATGTCGCAACGAACGCGGACTGTCTCACTTGAGACGAAGTCGGTATACTTCACTCGAAGGATGGTCATCAGGCAGTGGTGGTTAAAAACCTCCAGTTTTCGCTCGTCCTCCACGCACAAAGCCCAGTTTTCACAACCGTAAGGAAGGACAGACCGGACAGATGCACGGTGCACGCGAATCGTAGTGGCGATGGAGAGGTCACGTCGGTTCCACAGGCATTTCCGAAGGCATGAAAAAACCCAGCGGACAACATTGATTCTGGAGACAATGTCGTCCTTACTCTCTCCATTAGGCAGCAGCCTCACCCCAAGTATTCAAAACTGTTTGCCTCTTCAAGTTGACAGCCATCAATCCCGAGGGGTGCTTCTCCTGGTCAGGGATGCAGCTTAAGAACACTGGTCTTTCCATTTTTTATGGACAAACCGACCGATTTAGCGACCTCGTGAACCCGTGACACCATAGTCTGCAAATCACCAAAACTTGCAGCAGGTAAGGCGATATCATTGGCATAGTCGAGATCAGTCAGTCGATGTCAGGGTGCAAATTCAACGCCGCCACTCTCGCGTAGGGGCCTCCCGAGGATCCAGTCAATAGCGTAGTTGAAAAGTATTAGTAATAGCATACAACCCTGTCGGACGACAGACCGATTACTGAACGGTTAGGAAAGATTGTTGCGGACCAGGACTCCCGCAGTAGTGGAGCGATAGTAGGTATTGATTATGGCGATGATATTTGCCGGTACACCATCTAGCGCCATTATCCGCCACAGGGATTCACGGTGAACGGAATCGAAGGCGGCGGCAAAGTCGATGAAGCAGACGGCCGTCGGTTGTTGGTAGCTATGGCGAAATTCGAGAATGTGCCTCAGTGTAAATATCTGGTCTGCGCATCCACTCCAGCACGAAATCCGGCTTGATTGGACCTCGTCCTTGAGTCAAGCACAACCTGGAATCGCCTGAGAAGTACAATAGCGAAGATCTTCGCAGCAACGTCGATGAGACTTATGCCGCGGTAGTTCTCGCATCTCGTCTTATCTCCCTTCTTGAGGACAGGTACAAGGATGCCTAAGCCCCAGTCATCAGGACAAACCTCGTCTTTCCAGGGTCGTTCAATCACCTCATTGAGCCAGGGCGCTCGACACAAGACTTGAAGACTTCAGCGGGTATACCGTCCTCTCCGGGTGCCTTGCTGTTGCGCAACTTTCGTATAGCATCGGCGACTTCTTCCTCGTAGGTGGGATCGCTTGCCTCCGCATAGGCAGGAGAGGGAAGAAAATCCGCTGAAGAGGCGAGCAAGGGCGAGATAGGTTGGGTGTTGAAGTTAAGATGATGCTGAAAGTGTTCACGCCAACGCTCGACTTTGGTTGAGTTGTCGACAATAAAGCCGCCGTTCACATTACGAACAGAGTCAGTTAGTGTAGGCGGCTTATCGCTAGCTCGGCGGATCAGACGGTAGAGCTTTCGAGTGTCACCAACGTTCGAGGCCTGTTCCGTGGAGGTCGTTATTTCAGCCCAATATTGCCTCCGGTCATCCGTGGCCGATTTTGCGTCATCTTCTGAATAAGTAATATTCACCTCCGAAGTAATTTCAATTTAGAAAGTGCTAGACATGCACTGAGTAGGTTAAACAGAGGTCTAGTTAACAGGACATTTCATATAGAAAATCTCAGCTGGCATGAGTATTTTACTAAATGCCTTTTGAATTTTTCCGGAGTTAAATAATGCTTCACGATATAGAAACTTCGAACTTATCTGTCGCGGTGGATTTATATTAAAGAGTAAATTCGGATGATCCGGCAACTGTTGCTAAGCCATGTCATTACAGAGCAGCCACGTAACATTGCCGAAAAACCTTTTCGTCTTTTAGTGTCGTATCGCGCACAATCACTTTGATCCCACTTCCTTGTTATCTATCCGAAACTACGGGGATTTTCCCTCCGAAATGTCAATTTTGTGGTACCCTTAGACTGTTCAATTACGTCAAGAATAAACTTATTCAATTTTTCGAGTAAGGTCCAAACTGAGAAAAGTTGACGAAAACTGCAATATGCTCCCTAAAAATGAAGCTACTTTCGAATTTACAGTCTAAAAGTTAATAAGATTAGAAGAAAAGAAAGCCATATGAGAACTCTGCTAGTAACAGCAATTTAAAAAGCAAATGAATGCGTTATAATGATTTCGAAGGCCTTATATCAGTCAGTCCTTAGCATCCTTAGTTTGTGACCGTCTAATTTCGCACTGTTAGTTGTTTTTGTCTCCAAAACCTATGTAGTATTTGACAAATAGCCTCAAAAACAAGCATGAACAAAGGAAGAACAGGAAATGTGAATTACGTACAACGCCGTACCGCAACCGCTGCCACCCACGCCTTTGAGTGTTGTTGCACTCTCAGACGGCTGCGACAGAACCCGTGTTGCACCGTGGTAAGATGTGCGCCGTCTCTGCCGTCGTCATCGTCGCCGCTGCCCGAGACTGGCTTCTTTTTTACTTGATGTTTACCTCCTTAGAAGCCTGACCTTCAGCAGAGCTAGCGCACGGATGTCGATCAACAGCCCTCAGTCGACAACAGGCCTGTTGCGGCTTCGTCGGTTGGATGTGGTTCTGCAGCCCCACCTGAAGTGACCAAACCCCAGTCACCTGTCTGGTTTGCAATTTCATTTGTTTTTGTCTCCAACACGTTCAAAACAAGCATAAGCACAGGGGAAGCCTATGTCGCCAAACCAGACCTCGAAATTAGACCCTGCTTTGCACAATATCCTAATGCCACGTCTGCCACCCACGCCTTGCACAGTTAGAGACGACGTCAGAACTCGTGCCTCTACGTGGCACCAGGTGAGATGTGCGCCGTCCTTGCCGTCGTCGTCATCGCGGCTGCCGAGACTGGCTTCTTTTTCACTTGATGTTAACCTCCTTAGAAGCATGACCTTGAACAGACCCAGCGCACGGAAGTCGATCAGCAACTCTCAGTCGACAACCCCTATCTGATTTTTTGTCTCTGGTGATGGGTTCCAGCAGGAATCCGAAACGTTAAGATAAGAAAATTCTTGTCCCAGCAATCATGTCTCCTTCTTCAAAACAGGCATGGAGTTGCGAGCTGTTCTGCCAACTCCTCCCCCACATTTGGGGCGGTCAGTCGACATCCCCCCATAAGGTTTCCTTCCCTTTAGTAACTGATGCGCATGAAAGTAAGTGACATTGTATACTTCCACCCGTTAATAGCTACGCATTTCTTAAGATTAGCAGGGATGTTTACATGCTCGTGTGAGCAGAAAAACACTTTTTATAGTGTGTTTTGGATTTATGGACAGTGTAAATGATGAGAAAATTTCAGTCGGTGTGTTTCTAGCACAGGATCAAGTAGGTTTCTACGAAGAACATTGAATAATAAGACTTTCAAAAATGTCGCCCTGACTTCAGCAAAAACGGAGTTCTAGACCGATAATGTTTTGGGATGGGAATGTGTGCTTCCTTAGTGGACTTAGAATGTCTATACTTTGCAGTCAAACGCTGCTCTTTGAGGCATGCGCCTCTCAATGCGGGCGTTGATGAAATTACAACATTTAAGAACTTGGGTACCGACTGACAAGCAATTATCACATCAAATACGATCCAACAGCGACTGTGGGGATGTGACTGTCGGGGAACTGCATCCTATAATACCTGTGCTCTTCTTGTTTATTCTACCAATTTCTGCAACGTCTCTGATGACGGATTCGAGTGAGAATCCGTAACCTCATACAATTACACTTCTTTCTCAGTAACTGCACCCTCCCCCCTTGGCTGCATTCATAGAAGAGCCTATCCATTTTTTCGGGTGTCGATTTATTAATACGTCAAGAAACAACAACGGCAGTGACATTACGGCAATTAACGACTCAGGTGCAGTCTTAAAAGCAATCTGAGCATCAAAGGATGAACTCCTGCGATTTAGGAGCTTCCTATAAATTCCCAATGACGGCCTTGTTTGCTTACAAATGTACACGTCAGTCGTGGTATATAACCTAGTCTTTTCGAGGATCCTACTAATTTTCATATTAATTCAAACATACCGGGGGCAAGTGATTCTGGTTAGTGGAGTTCGTAACTATCTGCTAGGCGCGTTCACACAATCTTGTGCATAGCTATCTGCGATTTGGCTTTCGCTGCTTTTGCTATTAAGTAGGGATGATTTGCTAATTAATGTCGGCACAATCACCTATCAGGGCTTTTTCAAGACGAAGGCAAATAAACATCTTCATCTTCTTCTTTTATCCACAAGTTCGGACGGAAGACACGACTCTCGATCAAGTAGGTCGAGCCAATGCTGTAACAAATGTATTAAAAATGAGGACAAGAATTCTTCACGTGACATACCATAAACCCAAGCTAAGTTTAGTTTAATGGGAAGTTAATTACACTGATCGTTACACACTGTCAATCCGCATTGATTTAGAAGGTAACTCAGCGCGAACAAGAAAGGGATTACGGCAACAGGATACTTTTTCCTGGAAAAAACGTTTTAGAATATGCGTTTACTCCTTGTTCCATCGCAAGTCTTATGATCCAGTAGCGCTCTCATATGGTACCCAAAAGAAAATCATCCTCAAATATGTGGGAAAGAACCACCGCGTGGAAAGAATGCGCCGAAATTCTATTTCCATGTCATTACGTTGTTATATGACTTGGTGAGACTACAGTAGACGGGTTAACTCATGAAATTTCAACCAAAATTTCAAAATATGTTTTCGTTTCGAAAAGATTAAGCATGTCAGATTGTAAAACCAATCGCCCTGCAGCATACTTCTATAATAATCCAGTTAGGCCAGGATGCCGGCTTTCGGAAGAACGTCTTCCAGAATCATGCAAGAACTGTACTTTGTGTAAAATGACTGCCTAATTAGTATGTATTTTTCCCATTGATTTTTGATGCCCTTAATCATACAATAATATTCCATAGAAAACATGTACAAAAATAATCATTTTGTTGCTTAGTCGGTAGAAAATTAAGTCTTCTTCCACATATTCCAGTGCGGCTCAAATATCCTGGGATAGGAAAATATGATAACCCGCATAAAAATTCCATTTAAGTAATCTGTTTCGACTGAAAGCTCTCTGAAAGTTCTCTGACTGCATGTAAGACGAATCGGATTTCGTTCGTACATTTAACCAATTATTTTAGATTATCTACCACTTAGTTTGCATATTATACAAATAAAATTGTTAATTTTTTTACCGAACTAAATCAGTTGAACATTGCATACATAAATAAGTTAATAGTTTCATCATATTTCTTCTTTAATATATCACTTTAAACTTACAACTGGATACCCGTCGATATCCACTGAGCCGGATAATTTCATTAATCTTGCTTTAAATTTTATGAACTGACCGACCGCGAAACCCTTTCCACTTGAATAGCGGACACCGAAGTTTTTTTTTACTATCTGAGTTACGTGGTGGAACCATCTTAGTCCAAAATAAAATGCCCAACAACGCCATTTTCCGTCGGATTTCACTTCGATTTTTCTCGGTGATGGCTGGGCAGATGATAAATTTAAAGATTAATGTCCGTCATGCTACAATGACTAGTGTCACGCTAAAAATGCCTTTGTCAACAAAGTATCCACAGGATGGTAGGAACTGTGGGTCATAAAAAACTAAGCAGAAACATTTTTGCAGTGTCGACATTCGGAATTTTTTCTCCTTCATGCCTTCGTCCCTAAGTATGCGCGCCCGAGACATGTAGTTCTGACTAACTCAGCGAAGATTCGACCCACACCACAATCCACATTGTCTACTCTGCTGCCGAATAACAGACAAAAAAACGTTACAAGTGCTCAGCTGAAACCCCAAGCTTCAGTATAGGGAAAACATTTTTTCTGTTACGCCCACGAGACTGAAGTACGTGCAAACTTCGATGGTGCCTATCGGAGCCACTGCAGGGTATGAGTTCAGGCATAGCTTGCATATTTCTTTCAATAAGGGATTTAACAGGGTAAGTCCAGAATTTCGTTCCTTGCCAAAATTACAAAAAGCCCGTTATTAGTTTTTTAGTGGTATTCAAGACGTCGAGCGAACAGTAAAATTTGATTTGTGAAAAGTTCATTTATTATACTACCTAAAATTAACTGTTTGTTAGCGTTATGTTGATGCGTGTTAGTATACCGTCAATGCTCAGTGGAACATGGCAACGGGTGAAGTTTAGTCTTTCCGCAACAGTTATCTCAATTATGGCATATCCAGGCTCAATATAAAGGATAATGTGGGACATTTGTTAGCTGTCTAGAAGAGCCAGAACTTCGGTCACCACCTGGGATTTTCTTCTATTATCTTCTATTTTACGCAAAACCATGCGCAAGTAACATGTCCGGCGAATGTACCCACACAGCATACTGAAAATAAAAACGGTAGTTTATTTTCTTATCCATCATAAGGGATTAAGGGCAGACATTACAAATTTTGTTCGCCGATATTGACAGCAGAAACAGTAGTCATCCAAACGTTGTCCTCTCGGTTAACTACTTTGCTTATATAAAGTTTCGGCGCCAAATACGGCGTGGGGGGTTCGTTGCGCTTGTTGATTGACTGAGGACCGGAAAAAAATAACTTGAGCAGTTCGCGGCTCACGCGGTTGTCATCTCTAGCGAGACTTTCTGCTTCATCGAACATGAATGTGTGGGTGGGCTCCGTAGAGTGAACCGCTGCTTGGCAGCTGGCGTCTTGCCTACTCATCGCTGCTGCGTTCTCGGCCAAACGCCTCCGCAGTAGTCTTCCGGTTTCCCCGACATAGTTGTTTTACCCACAACTGCGCTAGACACGGCAAACGACACCTGGGCAATTTATTATGCTTACCTGACTCTGTCTCTAATTATGGGTTCGATTGACAATCCGAAACATCCGGCAAATAAAGCTCCTGTTCCAGCAATCGCGTCTCCTTATTGGCTACTACTTCCTGGAACTTGCCTATTCGCTTGAATTAGCAAATCGTGTTGATAATTGTTGTGAGGGAACACAATCGTACGCCAGTAAACTGCAGGGCGTACTGAAAAGTCTACAGATTGTGCCGTTTAATTTAATCGGGCTGGCTCCCAATATTGTTTTGGCGTTCCGTTAATTAGCCCGTCATATATGACAACTTATGATCAACTTATAAGGCATGTACTTCATACCTGCTTAGGGTTGTACGTCTTTAAACCGGAAACTGTACTTTAAATTAATATTGCTAACGGTGGATAAATGTTCTGAAAGGTGGAAAGAAAGAATTGCATACGCATGATTCGTTTTCACCAGTGTGGGGTTATTAACTATTCGTGCTAAAACAATTCCCGTATAGTATGCGGCCGGCTGACGGTAGTGCCTTAGAACTCTGTTTATGAATTCGAGTTAATTAATCAACATCTGCCCAAGCACCGATCAGTTAAGTGAGCCTGGTAGTCATAATGAATGCTAGATTGATGACTTAGGAAATCCTGCTTGGCTACTCGTCCTACTGCATCAGCTTTGATGTACCTCACACATTGCAGTTGGCTGGGCGGGCAGCTAGACTCAAATGCGATCAAATTCACAGATTCTGGAAGGGCCTCGTAGTTCGAGTGGCTAAAACATTAACCGTATTCAGGCCTTTTCATTGGTGTCCTGGGTTCGGATCCTAATGAGGTCTTCACGTTTTTCGCAATCGAGTCAAAATATCTTTGAATTCCTCTCTTTTCAGAAACATTCAGCTAGGGACTTCAATGTTCACTTAGCCTCAACTGAAATTCGGATCTAAAGAGAGACTTAAAACGAAAGAGTATTTTCTGCTGAAAGGCGTGTTTCTGTCTGTGAGTAGTGCTGTTTCGGATAACGCTGTTTATGCAACTACCACTATCTTGTACTTATCGTGTCTATCTGACCCAAGCAAACCAGATTATGCCATCTAATAAGGAATAGGCAACTCCAAAGACATTTCGAATGCTAACAATGCTTTCGCTTTTAGAGGAAATATACAATACAGAACCTTCGGTCGTCAGCAGAAGTGATTGCTTAGAATAACCTAGCAAGATCCGCAATCCTATGCTCGAAATGAACAGACATGGAAGTTTTGTACGTGCAAATTGACTAAGTTTAACAAATTAACATTGGTCGATTTACAAATACTTTCAGAATTATCCAACAAAAACATATGCCCGGAACAAGGTTACTTTCACCCGCAGTCCTCCGAGTCATGAACGTTTAATTCATTGCTGCCAAGGCGCCTAGTACTCATCGTATCCCTCTTACTACTATAACTATAAGCATCCTATTAACTTCGACTGAGAGTTTGTCCATCCCATCATCTGGCCATATGCGCTTTTGGAACTTAGAGAAAGATTAATCCTAAATTTTAAGATATCTCCATTTTGTTCTCGATGTCGAAATTCAGTTAAAAGTAAGCTTTACGGTCGCCACCAATTGTGCGTTATGCATTATCACCGGAAATTAAGCATATGTTTCTCGTATCTATGTAAATTTCAAGGATTTACTTCTCCCCACAGTCCTATTATAGGTTGTCTTAAAGATTTAGGAGTGTGCTTATGAATGCGACCACCTGGAAATATATATGTTGGAAAAAAACAAAATATCAAGTCCTAGGAAGAATTTGGGAGGATGCACACACAATGATAAAAATAAATGGCAAAAAGACAGAGTGCTTCTGAGCAAGTTTATTAATTTTGTCACGCAGGATCTCCTAAGGTAACTCACTCCACCAAATCGACCAGAGAAACGCACTAATGTATGTGTCAAACAAAAACAATTTTATATGGAAAGTTGATTTTGTAGTCCTGGGCTCCCTTAAAGAAGAACATTGAAAGTACTTGGTTTTAGAATGTTACCCGTGATTTGCCTTCAGTGACTAATCTTGATTGAAACACCTTCCAGTTTTTCGAATCGAAAATGCAACACGCCATTGCTTAGCAAATGAAAACGGCAAAAGCCGATGTTACAAAGTAAAGCCAGATAATGAGGAGATCGTTCATTTTTATTGCGTTCCATTGGTCTAACACTATTGACAATGAAGGCATATGAAAAAACACACTTTATATATGCTGTTTGTTTCTGGACAAAACTTTTAGTTCCTAATTTGAATACACTAATTTGAAGGAGAGATTTTTGTGTAAAATATGCCTATAAGTAATTTTATCGGTCGAAATAATTTGATATTTAAGCATTATTTTATGTTACCCTGTATTTCGGCTGCCTTGTATGCTAACAACTATCCTGCCATATCTTTGGGCATTAACGCAAGCACGTCTATCAGAGGAGAGTAGTTCAAACTTGAGAGTTTTGCCAAATGCAGCTTGTCGCACTAAAAAATTTATTTTTCACAGGGTAAATGCGGTAAGTCAAGGTGTAGGCAAACAAGTTAATTTTATATACCCAGACGTCCTGCCGACTCTAAACAGTTAGCTTTGCAGGTCTGTATTTCCCCACGCTCTTCAGCACGACAATAACGCCCGCTGTTAGCTCTTTGTTTCAACATTTTAAAATTTCCGTTTTAAAATTCAAATAATATTTTGAACTTTGGCAGACAAATGTTTTCGACAACTCATTTTAAGGTCAACACGATAGCATAGAAATTGGAACTCGAGGAGGAATGAAACCGACGTCCCGATCCAAAAGTTTTCTCGTCAAAGTTTATAGCAGACAATGAACTCGAATTCCTTGACGCCCCTCTGCACAAATGAGAGAACAGATCCATCCAGCGGAGACTACTTTGAAAGAGAACCTGGATGGGACAACGCATTAATTTCGGTAGATTTGCTCCTTTAAACATCAGGGATTGGCTGCTAAAATGTGGCATATCTGCTTTCCCGAGATTGTTTAAGCAGAACTCAAGCAGTTGTGGGATATACTCCGTTGAAATGGATACGCAGAGAGACTTATTTTACGAAATATTGGGGGACGCACTGAAAAGCCTATTAGGACACTCGTAGGAAAGAAAGATTTATTTATAACACTACCTTTTCAAGGTGACGCAGCAAGTGACCTAGATTGACAATGCCTAGAGACGGCAATTACTAGCGTTTTCCCTGCGGCGTATTAACGCCGAGGATTCAGGAGCTCTCCCGTTCTATGCTTAGGAAGTAGATACCGACTACCATTGCAGGCCCACATCAATTTGCATTTACTCATGTACTTGCCCTCTGGTGTGGAAGCAATGGTCGTACAACGCGGCACTCGAAAAAGGAAGTACGTGAACGCATACCGGACTGGCTAGACAAAAGGGAAAACGGATAGAATTCGTAGCGACGGACGGCATAGTTACGAGGCCGTTACGCCAAAATATGACTAGAAATAGCAGTCATTGAGTATTTCTAAACATCCCTCGGCAACTGTCATCCACGAATAAATTGCTGTTTATGTGGCTTCACTTAGAGTGTTTGGCCTCCTTGGTGTTATATAAATTATCTTTTTACACTTGAACATTAAGAGAATTAGTTCCAAGGAGATCGGTCCAGGAATTTATTATCCCCACTATTTTTACCGCCTCCTCAGTGGCGCTTGGTGAAAAATATTAAACCCTGCGATCAACGTGACTTTAATGTCGTACAAAACAAGTGAACGTGGTGGGAAAGTCCTAAGTGTGGGACAGTTAGTAGATATGGAGTTCATCTAGTGCTGTTTACTTAAACGTAACTGCAAAACAAGCACACTTAGCGACGTGTAAGCAATCTGGTCGTTTTTTGTATACCAGATTAAAGATAAATTATAAAGCGCATCGTAGGACTTTGGGCTTTTGTGCATTAAGCTGACATTAGACGAAAGAATAATGCACGCCATCGTATTATCTACAAACATTATAGCTTAGTCCATAGGCCTCGTGTAAGAACACTTCGTCAGTACAACACACGACAAATACATGAAATAGTAATAGCAAATTCTGCATACGACTGTCAATACGCTGTCTAAACACAGATTGAAGACCAATACACCTGTATTCGGGATACAAATAGGAATTTCGTACAAAGCCTAGTATCTACTCGGTGAATTCATTCAATTTGGAGGAACTCATGTAACCTTACGCCAGTTTAGAACCCTTTTTAATCAAAAAAGTGAAGATAAGTACTACTGCATGCAGCATGCATGAGATTGGTTATTGTGATAAATTGTTAGACACCTCTTCTCATTGATGCATTTTTATAGCGATCGAACGTTAAGAACCTAAGTCTGGTTTAGACAACAACATCAAATCTTTCTTTATACGCAGCCCGCATTTCTATCAAATTTTGCTATAACTCCTCAACGAAATTAAACGAAGATTCCATTGCAACACTCGCCACTTATTTTGTGTTTCAAATAATAATTATTGAAGAAATGCTTCTTCGGTCTCTCCGTCCTTATCGCCACTAGGTAGCCATGATGATTAGTTCGTGCTTTGCTCGTGGTTCTCGCGGATTGCTGCCAACCACTGATTTGTATATAGTCAACCCGCCAGCCAAAGTCCCTATATGTTTAGTACCCGTAAACCGGCAGACCGCCTAATCTCAAAGAGCAGAGTAATGATTATTAGGAATCCCTTACATGGCGTTTTCCTCCCCTCATCGGCTGGTGGTTTTGCAATGAATATCAGGATTAATAAGGTCAGATCTAATTTCGCCTTGGGAGAACTCACGTAAATCTGCGCATGCTCAGAATTCTATATCTTTTGTTTGCCCATAATTTGGTACAGTATGAATCAGCAGTTCTAAAGAATATATATTAAAACCAAAAATATAAACGAAATATTATCTCACCTTTGCTTGAAGACGAGAGTAAGTATGCGATGTTTGGCATAAAATTAAGTGACATTATATGCGCAGACACATTGCTTCGAAATGTTAAATATGGTAAAGTTTCATAAATTAGAAAAACGTGCGATTTTTGGAATAAATAAATCAAAACTAAAGTGAACGAGCTTCAGAAAACGAGGTTACATGAGCAGTGCTGAAAACAGCATTAAGCCGTCTGGTGACGACAGCTTTCCTTGGAAATACGGAGAAACCGTGGACGTAAAATCATCCGTTAAGCGGAAAATCATGAATTTTCTAATAGCAGAAACCCGAGTATGCTGAACGGCCTACGCTAGAACAGTCCACTGTGTGTCCAAAAGCAGGTAAGGCTTAGGGACGGTGGCTTGCGCATGAAGTAATTTATGCAGGTGAGAAAACTACCCCAAATCTACCGCACTCGCCTTCGTCACCTGCTTGAGACCCAGGGCCAGAACAGAGTCAACACGGTTGGAGACGAAATAGGGCACAGCAGTCGAAAAAGCTAAACAGGTTTTCGCTGGATCAAGGTTGTGAGCGGCCCGCATCCCCACTGAGAGGGAGCACCACGTAGGAAAGGAACCATTGCACCACGACGTTCCGTTTCGCTAGAAGAACTGAGTCATCCCGTCAGACGGGAGTTTGCTAAGCTACGGGCACTAGGTCATAATGCTAGCCTAAAAGCGTGTCGCATTGTTTGTAGTGAGAAGGAAGCGTATATCACCATAGCGACGCAACCTCCAGAGTCAGCCTCATTCTCGAAACCCTCCTTTAGGCATCTGTACACTATCCGGGTCGCTTAGCCATGTGAGTTGGTACTGTGACTGACAGTTAGTCAGCCTTTGTATGCGACGTGATTCCATAAGCAACCAACTAAAATTTTACACAAGGAGAGGGGGACTCAGTCCACACATCGGTAGAGTTACTTTAAGACCAAGTTACGAAGGAATCACCAATTCTGGCCCTCAGTCCCCCAGTCGAACTCTCGAAACAAACACCAAGAGACCCGACTGTGAGGTCTTTGCTTTATCGTCAGTTGGTAGACATCCAGGCTATGACGCTCGACACGTCCTACTCGACTCAACTAATAAGGTTTATTACTAAGTAATGCTCTGATTTGCCGAGAGTTAGAGTTATCGTGAAGAAGGGGACACGATCGTTGTGACAAGAGCCTCATTCGCCTGAGGTTTCGGATTCCAGCCCGAACTCATCATCAGAGACAAAAACAGTTACGAGTGGTTTACGCAAAAGGGGTTGCTGTATTTATGGGATGCAGTCGTCATGTTACCGCATACCTATGAATATTCATGGCTCCTCTCACCCTCAACGGGGATCGTTGCACGTGGTGTGATGACTGTTTGATGGCCGACAGTTGCGTCGTTAATTGTCACAATCTCATCTTGCGAGTTGGATTTTGGTGTGATGATTGTTCGACTATCTGACCCATCGATACTGGAGTTGGAAGCAGTGTTCACCTGTGCGTTCTCCGCGTGTCTAAGTGCTCCGCCTAGGCGAATTCTCAGCCATCGGAGTAGATCTCACTTTCAGTTCCCTCTGCCCTGAACCGGTCGACTGCCCGACCTGCCAAACAATTTATGCCCCATTCATGGACAGCAGGACTGGAAGAGCTGAGCAGCGCGTCTGCGAGCATTTCCTGCTCGCAATCTACGGATGCTAGGTCATAGTGATATTTAAAAGCGTGTCAAACTTTTTGTACTGAGAAGTAAGCGTAGATCGCCATAGCGGCGCAGTCTCCAGGGTCAACCCCATTCTCGACATCCTGTTCCAGGCATCAGTCCTCTATTCGGGTCGCTCAGCCATGCGGGCTGGTGCTGTGACTGATAGTTAGTTAACGTTTGTGTGCGTGCAACATACGACCTGCTTCCAGATGAAACGCACCAGAATTTCACACAATGGAATGGAATGGACCTCCTAGATCTCGCGTCGCTAGAGTGCCTTCAAAGCCAATTTATTAAACAGTTGCTAATCCTGACTCTCAGTCCACCTGTCGAACACTTCAGACAACTGCCCAGTGCGCCGACTGCAAGGTCTGTGCTTAAATCTGCCGTCTGTCCCCATTGATATCAGCGCGCCCTCAACCCTCTGGATCCGAAAATTCAGACCGGAAGAAAACACTCATAATCACTATGACCCAAATGTGAAACACTCGGTGCCTCGGTGGGATTCAAACCCATTCCGCCGCTGAGGCGGCTAGAGCTTTGGCTGTATTGAAGCTTTCCCTTGCTGTCGTAGGTTCGATTCCCTCCGAGGCACCGAGTTTTCCCCCGATTTGGTCAAAGTGAATTAATTGAAATCTTCCATAACGCCTATGGATTACGTGAGTCCGGCAGTCATCTAGTGGATTCGAAATGTGTTACGTTGGAAATCTTGCTTGAGCAGTCGGCTTGCTTTATTAAATTTGGTGGTAACAAATGCTGCACTAGGTGGGGAGAGTGAAAGTGACCCAAATGGGACTAAAGTCGCGACGTCTGGCGAGTCCTCGTAGCTCTGATATTTAGAGCGTTGGCTGTAGTTAGGCCTCCTTTTGCTGTCGTGGATTTGAATCTCACCAAGGCACTGAGCTTTTCGCAGTTGGGCCAAAGTAGAGTACTTGAGATTTGCCATAACAGTGGGTATACATCCAGTCCACGGCGCTTGCCACGTACTGCTGGATTATGCGAACCAAAGTTTGTCGGTGGAAAATGCTCTGATACAGCAAAAGATGGTCGTCGAATTAGATCTCGTTTTCAGTTCTCTTTCCCTTGAACTCGTCGACTGCCCGACCTGCCGAATATTTCAAGTTGAAAATGGGCGCAAGGACTGGCACAGCTGATGAGTCCGTCTACGCGCTCCGCACACCACGTTTTCGAAGTCGGAATTGGGCTGCTCCGGTTCGCCATACCTTATAGCGCCACAACAGCCATGTGGAAAAGTCACCAAATTAAGCATATACGGTTGTTTTTTAAAGAACGTCGAAACACCTCAAATACCTTTCAACGCTTGTTCAGTATTGAAGGCCAATTGCCAGTTTTGGCAATGCAATCGCACGCATACTATGGTTGGCGTATAAGCTGAAATGTTGCTTTGGTGGAGTTGCTACGCAATTTTTATGAAAATGAAGGTCGCTGCGTTATGAGGCGTCCTTCGAACAATAGTAAATACTCTGTCGATTTCATTATTTTCCGACAAGCATCCGGAAATATTCAATTAGCAATTTGTGTCCAATAAAATCATTTAAATTAAGACATATTTTCTAAGTATTTACAGATGGCCTACTGTTGTCCAGTGGTGGCTTCGGTACCATTCAAAAACTAATTAAACATAAAACGTACTCATTCGGTAGAAAATGGCGTCTGCTTCCAATTTTAGACTCAAAGGAAGGGCATAGCTCTTTTTTCAGAAGGTTTTTAATGATTAACCTTATAAGTACCTTGTTATGCCCGTTCATAAAACATTTTGCCTCTGCATTTACTAATGTGGCTTGTAAAGTTTGCTATGCGGCCCAAGTCCACTGTCAAACTTTAAAAACTTCATATGGTTTTCTCCTTACATCGTGGAGAACTGTGGGGTTTGCTCTACGCAGAAAATGTATGATTTGTATTTTATAAACCCTGAATGCAAGTATGAGAGTACGGCAGGTTCAAAATTATTCGAAAATTACGAAGGATTTAAAAACCGAATCACGCTACTGCTTCGCGCATAATATTGGAAAAATACACAATTTTCTACCAAATGCGTAAGAGAATGATAATTTGTATACATGATTTCCATGGATTATAATTAAATATTTATGCGAAATGCTAGTTAATGAGAAAAATTCATGCTAATTAAGTAGTTATTCTTTAGAGTGTGGTTTTCGCATGCGGTCGTGAGCATAGTGAGGAAATACATGTAGACTTTCAAGAAAAGCAACTAGGTAAAGAGCTGATCTGTAAGAATCACATTAAAAAAACAAATATTTGTTAGAGAACTAAAAAATATAAATATTAATAGTGGGTCCAAAAAAGTAAATACGTCGTATGCAGAACGTCGAGGCAGAACGTACTGGCTCAAGCATGCACGTGTCAAGTCGGGATTGCCTTATTTCTTGATTAACTAAATTTTATTGCTTGTGATCGTGCTCGGTTTACAGGTAACAATTTAATACCTGAATACTGTCATTTATGAAGTGGATGATATGTTTGCATGCGCGGATATGCTGCACGAGGCCTTAAGGTCAAAATCGAGTTATTATTTAGGAAACGAACCACACAAAGCAGTTAAAATTGCATGACGTGGTGATTTATGCAAACACGATTTTAATACAAAAATTAGCTAATGCTTTCCAGATTACCACATTATCTGCTCCGATAGGAAAAGGGGATAAGATATTTCCCACTTAATCAAACAGCGTCATTAGGAAATTCCGCCTGGGTAAATGCCGAGGATTTTAATGCAACTCCAGGTCAGAAGTAAATGCAACGCATATTTGCGTATGTTGATACGCCATAAGAAGGATGATTTCTTATCTAATTTTATATTTCTTTCGCTTATATATGCGTGAGTCACAACGTACAAGATAACAAAAGAAAAGTACACACGCATATATGAGTGTGTAAATTGTTAAATCTTTCACCGAAATAAGTTATACAAAATCCCATCCTGGATATCCACCTGACCAGTGCTTTTTAATTGCCTCAGATATTAATTGTTAACTTGGAGAAAATCCGCCTATACTAATGTCTATGGGCACAGGCCGAAATTTCACGCAAGTCAGCAGTCACAGTGGAATAACCATATACTATCCATTAAATGCCGACAGACAGCTAGTAATATATTGTAGCGATAGAGCATACCAAAATAGCAGCAAATGCACTGGTCAAAAACCCAGACAATCGTGTTTCGCCAATATTGTGCCGATGCATGACACAGGGGCTAGAGGTTCGGCTCTTCGGTGACTCCCTTAAAATTATCCGTATGTTTTATGGCAGATACTTCAGTTTATGTACTGTATCTTATAAATTTCCCCAGGAATTAACTGCTTGCTTAAAGTAAATCGGTTTATACCAAGGTCTGTAGGCGATGAATGGAAACCAATAATTTATAAATTGGAGTATTTGCCAGCAAACAGAGGTGGAGTGCTGAGGAGCCGAGTAAAGGGCTGAACCTCTCGCGTCTGTGCCATCCGGCAACAGAATATCGGCAAAACACACTTGTCTGGCAGTTACGTTAGTATGCATGCCGCTGGCATGGCATTTTCTAAAGCTAAAATTCACCTAACTCCAATAATTCCCATGTCTAAATGAGTAGAGAGGTTCAAAGGCGTCTGCGCTATTTCCAGAAAAAATACAGTACACGTATTCGCTTTACTGCAATGCGTATCCCCTACCAGACTGCTTGAAATGGTTATCATTCCTATTTTCATGACATACAGCTATTGTTGACTAGCAGGAAATGAAAAAACAGGAATAAGGGCATTCGAAGTACAAGGTTACTTTTGGAACGGTGATTTCGGATGTCAGTATCAGATACAAACATCATTAGACAAGTACTGAATTCTCCTTATATT